GCATTGCCCACACGTGTGTAGTGAGCATGCTGACCAGGGCCAGGTGAGAATCCTGGCCACAGGAACCTTCACTTTATCCACAGTGGGGCAAGTTGGGGGGCCCGAATCTGATCTGTGCCGCGGCTTTACTTCTCTGAGCATCATCTTTAAGAGGCAAACACGCTTATCTTGGAGCAACGTAAATCTAGCACGTTGAGATGCACTCCACGAGGCTAGGTGCCAGCATTAGGTTAAGGCTGGATGTTGCTAATTTAAACCATTAATTACATGCAGCTTTCTAATAGGATGAGGTCAGCAAGATGGCTGGGGGATTATCACGTGCTGATAATGACAGACAGGTGCCTTACCTGCTTGCAGGCAGTCTCTCGCCTGCCTCACAACGACCCCAGGGAGTGGGCTATCATCATTCCCCTTCTCATGGGGTGCCAAATAACTTGCCCAAATAACACAGCTAAGAGGAGACCCAGCAGGAATTCTCACTTTGGCCTGTGATGAGAATGTAAGGTTTTCACTGCTACCTGAATCCCTCCATGCGGGGACACCAGGAGCCTTCCTACCCACCCCGTGGTGGGCGTTCCCCAACTAGGCAGTAGCTCGTCTCCCACCTTCCCTTTCCATCCTCACCGCTTCAGGCCTCATCACCTCCTAACCGATTTCCCTGCTCCCAGCGTCTGCCTTCTCCATGACCACCAACACCTTCTAAAACCCAGCTCACCGCACCCCTCCCCTGTACTCCAAAGGGGACCCAGCCATTAAACACTAAGAATTCTGCTGAAGAAACTACCAGAAACGCAGAGATTTAAGTATGCAAATGTTCATTGCAGCCTCATATAGAATAGAGAAAAAACCTGAAAGAGCGTGGGTGTCCAACAATAAGAGATAGTTTGTCAAATAAATAACAGTAAGTAGAATAGGATGACATGCGGGCATTAAAATACTTGATGCCATGGCCTCAAAACGTAATATATTATAAATTTTAAAAATCAGGATGTAATAGAGTACACATACTATGACTCCATGAGTGGAAAATAATGACATATTATATCACATGTAATAATTATGCATTACATATTTATTAGCATAGAAATAAATGTAGAAGGAAAACACCAAACGATAACAAGAGATTTTCTGAGAGATGGGAACATAAAGAGTGGTATTTGTTTTCTTCTTTCTATGTCCTGCCCTTTCACACTTTTTTCAATGAACTGTGTTTTGGTAAAAACAGTGAAGGGGGCAGGTTTATTCAGACCAGAAGCTTTGTGATAGGCTCCCCACTGCCTGGAAAAGAAGTGAGGGCGCATGACCAGTGTTCGGGGGCTCCCAGTGAGCCCACCTCCTCTGCGCCCAGCTGTCGCAGCCCCGGGTTCCACCCAGACCTGTCTGTGTGGCCTGTGCCACCTTACCTTTACCAGCTCGGGCACCTTTGCACTAGCGATTTCTTTCCCCAGAAAGCCTTGCCTGCCCACCTCTCCCTGATAGAATCCTAGCCTACTCTCCTCCATTCAAGGACCACCTCAGATGTTCCCTGCAGCCCCCTGGCCACCCCTCACAGCTGTCCCCACCTGTAAGTGTGGGAGACAGTCCCCTCCCTTCCCTTGTTATCCTCTCCACCTCGATTACCTTAGGAGTTGGGACAGGCTTCTCCTGTAAGGGGACCGCTGATACTGAGGCTGTGGTGAATTGAATGGCACTGCTGCTGGGTAGGGGCAGAGCTGCTTGGAGCTCCCTGAGGACACCCGGCTCTCCCTCCTGGCAGCTGCGGGCCTGTCTCCCCATCCCCCCCAGGATGGCAGGAAGCTCCCCTGGTGCCTGAGTCGGGGGTGGGGGTGCCCTGGTTCGCGGCACTGCTGCCAAGAGGTTTGAGCTCTTTCGGGGCCTCTCGGCGGGGCCAAGTGCTGTGGGCAGAGCTGACTGGGAGGGAGAGGCAGCTCTTCCTGGCCCTGCGGCAGGGGTGGGTGACCAACTCTCCCGTACTGCCCAGGACTGAGGGGCCCCTGGGGGCACAGAGCTTTCAGTGCTAAAAGTAAGGGAGTCCCAAGCAAACGGGGTTGGTCACTCAGCCCCACAGAGGGTGAGCCCTGCCTTCAGGCTTCCGGGAACAGGGAAGCACCGTGTCACAACAGCTCAGCACAGAGCCCTTGACCCTGCAGGAGGGGGAGGCCCTTTACCCAGGCCAGGTGACAGACAGCGTTTGGGGCCGCACAGGACCCCATCTGAGCCTGGCACCGTTGGTCGGCCGTGTTCTTGCCGCCTCTTCCTCCCCTGGGGCTCTCGCTCTTCCAGGCTTGTCCTGCTCAGGGCCTCATTCCTCCCAACTCCCAGGACACCTCCTGGTGTCCCCTCCTGCAGTGAGACCACCCTTATTTCAAGGACTGGCTGCAGCCACTTGCTCCATGAAACCTCCCCCTCCCCAGCACACAGATGGCCCCCTTCTCAGCCCAAGCACCGTCCTCACTGCTCAGGGCTCCATTCTCCGTCTTGCCTCCGAGCTCCTCCCTCCCAGTGAAACTGTGGGTTCATTCATTCATCCATTCACTCATTCCCTCATCCAGAAGAATTAATCATTTGGTATAGGGTTAAGAGCCCATGCCTAGCGGCCCACTGACATGCCTGAATCCACTCTCTACCACTTAGCTGCCGGGTGACTCTGAACAAGTCATTTAACCTCTCTGGGCCTGTTTCTTAGTGTAACACATGGGAGTCATAATGATAACACGGCCTCTCAGAGCTTTCGTAGCATTACATGATTCAGTAATTGCACATTCCTTGGATCCCTGCCTGGCACAGAGTAAGTACTACATATCATTTGCCATCATTATTACTAAGAACCTGCTGTGCACTGGATACTTTGAGGCAGCAGGAATATACAAATGACAGCAGCTGACTGTCTAGTAGGACAGACAGACCACAGCTGGCAACTGCCCTGCAGTGTGACTAATGCAGGAGCTCTGGTGGCACCGAGGGGAGGGCGGCCACTCAGCCTGGACTGCAGGCAGAGCAGGCGGGGCTCCTCACAGCTGGCAAGTAAAGGCTGCAGGAACGTGTGGGAGGAGCGCGGGTGCAAAGGCCTGGAGGTGGGTGGCAGCCTTGGCTGGGCCTGGAATGGGGCGCTCTGCATGCAGGGAGCCTGGGCGTGCGGCCTGTGGGACAGACCCCAGGAGAGCCCTGGTGGTGGAGACCTCACTTCGTAGGAGCCCGGACTTTCACCTCTGTAGCCGGGAGAATGAACTGCATCGTGGATGGAGCACTCAGGCGGACTGCGGCGTGAGGACTGGAGCATGGAGACTGCAGGAGGCCAAATCGGGGCTCACCGTGCAGCCTCACAGTCGCTTGGCACAGAGCAAAACACACAGTCTTGCCAGAGCCCTTGGGCCTGGCCCTGGGGGACAACTGCCCATGGCCACCAGAACACCCTCAATTTCTGGAAAAGGCCAGATTTCCGGGTTGCGCACCATAAGGCCTAGATCTACCCGCCCACTCTCCTGCTGCAGCCCCAGCTCGCGGGTTCTAATCCTGGCCCTTCCCACCCATCTCGTTCTCAGTCCTGCAACAGGCTCCCTCTTGCCAAAGCCTCAGCCCCAGCACAGCTCACCCAGACCAGGACACGCCATCCCTTCTCCTCCGGCCTCCCCGCCCCAGTCTTACTGGCCTCCCGACTCTGGGCTGTGACTTGCCCTCTCATTTTCCCACTGATGACTCACATGTGGGGCGGGGGTGAGGCCATGGCTTCCAGGGCAGTGGGGGAGAAGTTGGCAGCAGCCCCTCCCTGGCCGCACAGCGTCCTCAGGCCCATCTGAGCAGTTTTTCCATCTCGTGCCTGTCTGCTGGCACTGTCAGGGCCCATTTGTGCCCCCAAACAGGACTGGACCCTACTGTGTGGCCCAGCCAAGCATTCCTGTGCTCCAGATTCAGAATTCAGACTTGCAAGAGCAGTGAAGACAACCCTGGACCCAAGAAGCAGGCCATCTCTTTCCCCAGCGGAGAAACAGAGGTGCCCCAGCTGGGTCACATGTCTTTTAAAAACCAAAACTTGGTATGTGAGCTCCAGATCTCTGTGCTGAGTTCTCGGAGACTTTGGGAACTATGCAGCTCTTACCCGTGGTAGAACGTGACTGGCGCCATCACCATGCCCTCCACCTGCGTGCACTGAGGACCTACCACATTCTGGGGGCTGTGCTAAGCGTGCCAACAGAAGCACACACTTCAGAGGGGCTGGGACTCACCAGCAATGGGAGAGGCTGAGTGGAGCATGGCGGGAACACAGGGCTGGGTGCCCCTCCAGAGACTGGAGCCTGCCTCCCCCTCCACTCGTGTGTGGCCCCTGCCCTTGACACCTGGCTGCTCCCCACTGCCCTTTGCAGCCAGACGCCCAGAATGATTCTTCTGAACTCTGCTGAGGCCAACACAGAGCAGGGCAGAGCAGGAAGTGCCCAGGGCTCCCCAGCCACTCACGCTCCACTCTTTTGGCACCAGCTATCATTTTGTCTTCCCACTAGATTCTGGGCTCCTCCAGAGCAGGGTTCAGATTATTTCTTTTTCATCTCTGCACCCCAAATGCTAAGCATAGCACCTGGCCAATAAGAGGCACTTAAAATACATGTACATTTTTGCTGCATGAGTGTGCCTTGCACCCCTATTCCATCTGCTCACAAACACTCCCATTTCGAGCGGCCTGGACACCTCCTTTCTTCATGCTGGAATCCACACCACTGGTCACCCCAGGTTTGATTCAAAGAGCAATGATCCTATTTCAGAGGCTGCTCTTTTATAGGAGGACGGAGAAGCTAACCTTTGCCCAGTCACACAACCCTAATGAAGGCAGGAACACCGTCTTCTCCCCGCCCTCTCCCCACCCTCTGCTGCTGTACATGTGCTGCCTGGTACAGGTACAGTCCCTGCCCCAAGCCCGTGGCAGACATCACCACGTGATCACGGCGCTCGGGAGCCCAGACCACGCTCAGCACTGAGATGAAGGTGACTGTGTAGCCAAAGCCCAGTGAGATAATACTTGTAAGCCTGCCTTTATAATTTGTAAATTCTTATTCAGTTGCAAGGTATAGTTCACGAATCTCATGAGCAAGATGCTCCTGAGGGCTCTCAGGTACTGGGTGACAGGACAGAGAGGAAGGAGACATGTGATGGGGAACAGAACCGGTGGGAAGCTCAAGCAGGCGCTGAAGGAGGCTGCAGATCACCGGAGAGCCACTCAGCCTCCTTTCTCCTCCCGGACACTCTGCAGTGGGCACTGGTTAGCCGCAGGAAGGCCAGACATGGGTGGCGAAGGAAGCCGACAACTGCTCACTACAGCAGGGGAAGCCTCAGGGTCACCCGGCTCATAGTCTCTGCACAACCCAGGGCAGCTGTTTCTTGGTACCTCCGTTGCTCCCAGGTTGAAGTGATTCCTTTAAGCCACTGGTAAGGACCACTTCCTGTACAAAGTGCTTAAAGCCTGAGTGTGTAAACCACAGGGAGGCGAGCTCTGCCCCCCAAAGCAGAGCCACCTCCCAGGACAGGCGGCACCTTCTGGAGAAGAGGCAGCTACAGAGGGTGCGTCCCCAGGAATACATCCCTCAGTCTCAGCCTTAGGGCCCTTCCTTGAAGGACCACTGAGGCTGTGTCTTCTGGAGTCACAGTATCTCCCCATCCAGGCTGCAGATTTCAGGTAGGGCCACGAATTAGGAAAGATGGGGAGAGGGGAGGGATGCTCCAGGCACTGGGTCTCGTGGGCAAAGACTCACTCAGCAAACAGTGTGGTCACTGCCCTTTGTGGGGCATCTTCATTTTGAGATAGGCATGAAATGGTAACGGCCAGACCCCACCCTACCCCACCACCTCCAGGGCTAACACCACTGCGGGGGCAAGAGGGAAGGAGGTGGGGGAACACGTGTGCAAAGAGAAGCCTGGACAGGTGGGGGTCCCAGAAGGACCTAAGCAGCAGGAGACCCCCAGGTGCGGGCCACAGGCCCATCAGCCACCCCCTCCCCACCAAGGTGAGTCCTGAGGCAATCTCAGGGCTGTTCCTCTCCTGGGTACCACGCTGGTGTCCTGAGTCCTGAGGCACCGGGTCAGTGCTCCACAGGGGAATGCCCTCCTCCGGGCACGGCACCACGCCAGGGAGGAGCAGTAGTCTGCAGGACAAATGGCAGGGCCACTGCGGGCAGGGGCTTTGAGGCCAGCCCTCCATCATGACTGATGAGGCAGGCCTGTGGCTAGAAGACCAGAGCTGGTACATCCTGAGAGTCGATTACGTCCAGGGACTGAATCTTCATCCTCAGCCCTGTGTGGCCTTCTGCCCTCCTCCCAGACCCCATCCATTCCTTCAGCTGCAATGCCTCCTCCACAGACCACGGCTTCTGCCTTGCCACATGGAGCAGGGTGGTGCCCCTATGAGCCCAAAGGCACAGGGATGCTGGCAAGAGAGAACAGCAGTTAGGGTCGGGGTGGCACCGGGGTAACAAGTATCCACTACGAGCTGTTTTACACCAGAGCTTCCTGAAGTTCTCCACATGGAGAGAAATGGGGCTTGCTTCCTCGCAGCCCCCTGCGGCCTGAGGGGTCGGTGCGGATCATTCTCAGCACAGCACGTGTGCCTTAGCCCAGCCTCTCCAGCATGAGGGGGACTTAGGAGGGCCGAGGGGTGCATGGCACCAGGTGGGGCCCCCAGGATCCCTGCGATGCTGCTTGTCAAGGTGGACAAGCTGCACAGCAGGGAGACTGAGGTAGCGTGGGAGAAGGGGGCAAGGGGAATACAGGTTTCCACCAGAGAGACTAAAACTGGAGTGATACAAATCCTTCCTCAGCCCTGTTCCTAGTTCCCATGGGGAAGGAGTGGCATCTGGGGAAGAGGGCACAGGGCTGGGAGCCAGGGCTTCTAGGTTCTATTCCTGGTCCCTCCCCTGGGCCTTCCTGACCACACGTCCGTCCCTCACCCCTGCCCCACTGCTCAAAGGGATTAAGACATCACAAATAGCAAATTATGGCCCCATCCCGCACCCATCTATCCACCCTGCCCTATGCCCAGCCCTCCTCCAGTCTCTCCTTCTTTGGCCCAGTCGGGCATTGGCTGGCACTCAGGGGCAGGCAGCCCACCTCCTTGGCATCGGTGGCCTGGCCTCTGGACTGACCTGCCCACCTCCAGCTCTCCTGGGGTGCCAGCAGCTCAGCTCAGGACCCACAACCTGTGGTCAAGGCTGGGTGGTGAAGCCGCCAGCCCTGCCAGGCCGAGCACCACCCCCCGTCCACTGAGGCCCCAGCTCGAGGGCAGGGACACTTGGGTTCCGTTCCCAATACCTGAAGAGAGGGAAGCTGAGGGAGGCTGTTTTTCTGCCCTGCTTCCTGCTCAAGCTCTTCTCTGAGGAGGGCTCCTCCTAGCAGAGGAAAGGGGCAAACTTAGGTTCATCCCACCCTCGGTTCTTTCCAGCTCCAAGAAGGCCACAGCCCAGGAGCCCTGCCCTGGGTCAGGGCAGAGGCCCAGCCGCTGAGGGGAGCTGCAGGCCAGCCTCCCTGTCCCTGCAGCAGGGCGGAAACAACGTGGGGGAAGGCCCACCCACCTTACCAGTGGTCCTTACCAGGTCTCAGACACCTGGACCACATTCAGACCCTCCTGCCTGGCACTCCCTGGGGAAAGTCCAGCCCTGGCCTGGGCCCAGGCCTCCCATGCTGCCTCTGGAAACCCTGTTGGCCCTAGGATGGCCCACCTTTGAAGCACAAAGTGGTGGGAGTCCCCAGTTCTCTAGGTACAGGAAGGAGGTGAAGGGAGGAAGGAGGGAAGGAGGGCCCCATACCCTGGGCGCTTACCTGACCTCTGGGCCCTGCGTGCACCTCGGCGGGGGGCATGAGGGTTAAGACAGTGAGCCTGGCGGTTTAGGACACAAGGGTCCCAGCCCCGAGGCTCTGCCGGGCCCGCACTGTCTGGATGGCCTGCTGGTTTTTGAACTTGACCAAGCCGAGGGTGATCTGCGCGTTCCAGCCAGGATCCTCGAGGGGGCAGCGGAAGTCGATCTCGCCGCCGCCCTCGGTCACCAGCGTGAAGTAGATGTGGCGCCCGGTGCTCTCCACGCATTCCACGGCCTTGATGCGGGCGAAGCTGAGCTCCTTGGGCCGGCCGCCCGCGCCCTTGGCCTCGAAGAGCTGCAGCCCGCGCTCCGTGAGCACGCAGCGCTTCCGCTTCCAGAGCTGCAGCAGCCCGCCGCTGCGCTTCTCCAGCACGCCCTCCTTGAGCACGGTCGCCGCGGCCGTCATGGGCGCCCGGGGTCTCGGGAGAGCTGCGCGCAGCGCGGATTCCGGCGCCGGGGGCTGGCCGGCCGTGCGCCCTGCCCGCCTGCGCCCCGGCTGCCCGGGGCGCCCGCCGCCTGGTCCTCGGGACTCCGCTGCCTCGGCGGCGGGCGCAGGTGCCCACCGCCCGCTCAGCACCCCCGGGGCTCCCCCGCCCCGCCGCTGCGTGGTGCCTCCGCGGCTTCCCGGCTGACAGCCCGGCTGCCCGCTCGCGCTGCGCCCGCTCGCTGGCTCCCTGGGCTCGGTGTGCGCGCAGGGCGGCAGCTCGCGGGATGTGCCCTTACATGTTCCGCCGCTCGCCTGCTGCGCCGCCCGCCGCGCATTCCTGCCCCGGCCGGCCCTCCCCTCCGCGTCGCGCACCCGCCCGGACGGGGCTCGGGGGCGGGGCCGCCGCCACCCACCCGAGGGACTGGGCGCCGGGCGGGCAGGGCAGGGCCGAGCAGGGGGCTGCTCAGCCAACTGACCAAGCCTCCGGCGTCGGGTCTGCGCTCCTAGGAGCCGCAGCTCCTCCAGTCCCGGGACGCCGGGCAGGCGGTGCGGGGAGCGGGAGAGAGGCAGAAGCGCCTCCTAGACGAGAGGCTCGCTGTTGGTGGGAGAGCGTCGTCTTGCTCCGCGGCCGCGCAGGGGCACCGGTTGGCAGCTGCGCGGCGCGCGCCGGCTGGGTGCTGCGGGATGCTTCCCAGGAGTCCTGGCGTCCAGCCTCTGCCCCTGTCCCTGCTAGGCCAGCTCCCCATTGGCACCGTGCAATCAGAAAAATGAGGAAGATCCGGGGGAACGGTGGGAATCAAGCCGATGTTGGGTTCTTCCCCCACCGGCACATTTCTCTGTGTCCCGCTCAGCAGGGGCTGCCCCCCCGCTGTCTCTACCTGCGCGGCCCACCCCCTCCTTCTACCCCAAGTGGCCCCGGGGGAGGCACTGAGACTCCACTGCGCCCTGCGGAGAGAGGAACCCTGAGGTCACTCAGCCCCTTTCTGCATAGACACGGGAGCTTTGCAGAGTTGGATTCAAACCTTAACTCCTCCGCCCTGACTGTGGTGTCCTGCCCACGGTGGGCAACTTCACTATCCTCCTGTGGTTTTCCCATATCCTCTTCGGAGGATTAATTTATTATTTCATGGAGTTCTGATGAGTTGGGTAACATTCATGAAAGGCCCAGGATGGGGCCTGGCAACTCCCGGAGTCTCGGGCAACATCATTTCCCTTCCCCCGCGTTTGTTGCCCTTAGAGGAGGACAGGACCCCGGAACTAGGCCCAGCTCTGGAAGATGGCTCTCCGAGGCCCTGGCTCTGCTCCCCCTTGGTCAGCTCCTCCAGGCCCACGGTTTCATAGGGCCTATTCATCGACATGTTAATAATAGGTTATTACGGAAATAATGACACGTAGTAATGACAGTAATAAGCCCTCTGTGTACCCACACCCTGTTTCCATCCTCCTGCCCATTGATGCAGAGCCTAACGGGCAAAGGAGGGTCTAGTGTGGAGGGGAGGGGTGCTCGCCCCTGCAGCACCCACGTCAGGAGGTAGGGGAAGGGAGCTGTCGGTGTCTCACCCACAACTCTTGAGCCCGTGTGCCAGAAGCGCCCCCCACCACACACACACACAGGACAGCTAACTCCCTAGCCCCAAGAACACCCTTCTAGGAAAGGAGGGGACGGTGCCATGAGGGAGAAGAGGCAGCCAACACAGGTGTCTCTTGAGGCCCAGAGGGCCCCAGTGGAGGGAGGTCGAGGCGCCCACAGCTCTGCCTTAGAGACGCCCACGGTCTCAGCATGGCTCCGCTCTCCAGCCTCTGTAGGAGTGTCCTGCGCCCATCCATCTGGCCCAGGCCTGCCGCGACCTAAAGCACTAGCCCCGAGGAAGCAGGGCTGTAGACCAGGCTCGGTCCACAGCTCTGTTTTATCTCCACCACTTCCTCCTCTCCCGATCTGGGCCAGGGACTTGAGGACGCTCTCTCCAGTTCCAGATTAATTCACAAATGTACAAGCATTTAAAGCTTTACGGAGCCCTCTCACATGTTTTTTATTCTCAAGACAGATTGGTATGATTATTATAGTGCTCATTTCACTGATGAGAAAAAGGAGTTCAGAAAGGTCAAGCAACCTAGATGATGTCACACAGATTTGTAAATGACAGAGCTGGCATGAGAATGCTCGAGCACCCAGGATCGTCTGATGAAACCACACCACCTTTATGTAAGTATCTGAGCACACAGGGTTTCTTGGAGACATGACCCAGGCACCCACACTTTCTTCTTCAGCCTACTGGGTCGGTGAGGGGGCTTCGTACACAAAAGAAAGGGGGGAAAGACAGGAACATTGGTTAGCCAGAGTAAGTGGATAAAGAGAAGGCCATAGAAGGAAATTGAGCAGGGCATCCTCTGCTGCTGGAAAGGTCTTTACCAACTAAACATCCAGGGCCCAGCACCGCATCTCCCTAGGTCCTTGGAACCTAGGGTTCTATCCTCCAGTCTTGTGACCCGCTGGGATAAAGGGAGATGACTCATTCTAAATCTGCCCTTATAACTGGCTGGTAGCCCCATCTGGGAGAGGCTCAGGCCCACGCTGGATTACTTGGGCCATCAGAAGGTTCAGGAAGCACCTGAGTGCGAGGGGGCAGGGGGGCTAGCGCGGGTGGTCCCTTCGTGCGGGGCATCCCTAGACTGCCTCCTCCCCTCCACCCCCACCGGAAGCGGAGCTCTAACTTAGCCTTTGGGCACTCAGCTGGCTGGCGGCAGTGCTGGCCCGGAGATACTCAATTCTTATGCACTTGTTGACTCCACAGGGAACTGCTGGACAGAATGTCCCCTGGTAGCTGCCCAGAGCGGGCTCCCCCCTCTGCCCACCCCGAAGGAAAGCTGATCTGCGCTGTCAGTCCATCTGAGTCCAGCTAGAATGGGGGAGACTACAACATGGCCCCAGGGAATAGCCTGCTGGACATGCTCTAGCTGGGGTGTGAGCCCTCCCCAGTGGGGAGGTGAGAGCCCGGGTCCATTCTGGGCGGCTGGCCAGGACGCGGTGGACGGGAAGATGGGCGAAAGGGGTGGTAGAGGTAAACACGGGACCCAGGAAGACACAGAAAGTAATACAGCTTCTGCTGCTACAATATTTACGTATCTTACTGTAAGTTCAGTTCAGTGGTCAATTGTTAGACTCAGTCTACAGAGAAAGCATTGAAGATAGTTTCACTTACAAAACAGAATGTGTATCAACACTGTGAAAGTTCTAAAACAGAAGGTGGTGTCACTCCTTGGCTGCAGTCCGCCAGAGCCTTCCATCAGCCCCGAGGAGAGCCCATCGGTGAGGTAGCCCGCGGGGCCCAGCGGGGCCTGCCCTTGCCTTTCTGACCTAGTCTCTGTTCCCTCCGTCCCCTGTTTCTAGCCACACTCCCCACCACCCCCTGAACAAGGCCGAGGCTCCTTGCACAGGGCCCTAGTGCTTGCTGATGTCTGCCTGGCCTGCTCTCCCCCAGGTCGTCACATGGTTCATGTCCTCCCCTTGCTCAGCTACCCATTCAGCTGTCACCTTCTCAGGGCTGTCTTCCTGGACCACCCCATTTAAAGCCACAGCCCCTTTCCTGCAGACATTCACACACACACACACTGTACCCTTCCCTGCTTGACTTTTCTCTAGAGCCCATGTCACCTTCTAAAATTCTGTTTTTCTTACTTATTGTCTGTCTCCTCTACTAGACTTTAGGCTCTATGCTGGCAGGGAGTTTTATCTGTTCTCTTTACCCTTGTAGCTCCCACACCTAGATGGTTGCCTGGCACACACTAGGGCCTCAGTACATAATTGTGGAATGAGTGAATGGAAGGGGAATGTAACCTACAACAATTGGGAGGTGGAAAGGGATAATGCAATGGTTTTCCCTTCTTTCATTAGAAGGAGTCGTGACTGCTGTCTGGAGTCAGTGAACTGACACAGGCAGGTCTGAGTGTATTACCTTACATAACAGTGGTAACCACTAGATGCTCCCGGGGGGATCTTTAGGGCAGTGAGACGATTCTTTAAGATCCTGTAATGGTGGGTACATGACATTATGCATTTATCAAAGCCCACACAACTGTATAACACCAAGGATGAACTTAATTAAACAATGGACTTCAGTTAATAATAAATGTATCAACCCTAGTTCATTAATTATAATAAATGTACCACACTAATGCAAGATGCTAATAACAGGGGAAACTATGGGAGTGGTGAAGGTGTACAGGAATCGGTACCATCTGCTCAATTTTCTGTAAGTCAAAAACTGTCCTAAAAAATCACATCTACTATTTAAAAAACAAAATAAGGTTCCTCTAGGAAAGGGTGGGAGAGAAGATAAAGACTTACTTTTTCTTTGTTTGTCTTCCATACAGCTTGATTTGTACTGATTTATTATTTTCTTACTATATGCATGCATTACTTCCCTTAGAAATCTACCTAAGTATGATACATAAACATTCACTATTTTATTATTTTTTAACTGCTCCACTGTATGATACATAAACATTCATACAGTGGAGCAGTGAAAAATAATGAAACAAATCTGCAGATCTTAATAGAGATGTCCAAAGAGTGCTGCTTTGTGGGAAAAATATTTCAGTACAGTAAGTGTAATAAAGTGTGTGATATGATCCCAGACGAGCAAAGGTCCATCTCCTTCTAGAGCCTACATCCGGAAGGATTCACACCCATGTGTTACCTATGGATTCTCGACGCCTGTCAATCTACAAACATGCTTCTGTACGGTTTGCATCACACACGTGTATTACACGTATTTAAAAAATTAAATAAACACATGTGTCTCACATAGACTTTTAAAATTAAACAAAAACCAAGGACAGGCTTGAAAGCCAGGGCCAATTTAGACACTTGAAAGGCAGTCACGAGCTGCGAGCTCCCCCAGGGTGTGCTCTGCAGAACCTCCTGCAATGGGGAGTGGGCACCCCAGCAGAGCAGACCCTGGGCTGACAGTGCAGCCCTTCCTAGCAGTGTGATTCCCTCACCCATTCCCAGTCCTCAGAAACTTAGAAACGAGCAGGGTCCCCCACAAGCACCTGTCCCATTGTCTCCTGGCACCTGGAAATCAAGGCTCTTCTAGGCAGCCTGGGTGTGACTCCCAGTAAGGAAAAAGTGGTATGGTGTAGACCTCTGCTTCTCAGACTAATGTGCAAACAGAACACCTAGGGATCCTGTAAATGCAGATTCTGCTTCAGCAGGTCTGGGGTAGGAGCTGCGATTCTGCATTTCTAGAAGCTTCCATGTAACGGTGATGCTGCTAGTCTCTGGAACACTCTTGAGACAGCAGGGGTCTAGAGGAGAGGTTCTCAAAGTGTGGTGGCTACATGAGCAT